TATTAATTCTACCGTATCAATGTAGAGACAACCTGTACACAATGTAACTTGTACACAAACCAGACGTGTACATTTCGTTTGTTTACAAAACTTACCTTCCCCTGGTTTGTTTACATAACTGCGCCGCCCCCTCTCATGTACTCATTCTTTCTCTCTCTCATTTATTCGTTTTATCTCATTTACTTACTCCTGACCCTACATTAAGACTACAAATATTTTTAAGGTAAGTAATGAGTGAACTGTAATAACATTTTAAACGCTCTTGGGATGCTTTAAAAAATCATAGAATAGTATGTGGGGTGGGGGGCCTGGTGAGGCAAATTTCAATACATACCACACTTGATTTCTTACAATAAATACAAATTGTCTCACCCTAGATTAAGACTATAAATATTTTAAGGTAAGTAATGAGTGCCCCTATGTGTGTATTGTACCTTTTTATTGTTTTTTTTATCCTGGTTCTATTGCTAACTTAATATATGTTAGTGTAAACTTGTTATCTAGTGTTTGTATGCATTTATAAGTGGAAAAAAAGGGTGTTCCACTTTACGGCGATTTCCGCTTTACGGCGGTAGCCTGGAACCTAACCCTCCGTATAAGTGGGGCCTTCCTGTATATAAAATATATATATATATATATATTATATAATATAAAAGTGGACCCCGCATAATGATCACCTCCGAATGCGACCAATTATGTAAGTGTATTTATGTAAGTGCGTTTGTACATGAATGTTTGGGGGTCTGAAATGGACTAATCTACTTCACAATATTCCTTATGGGAACAAATTCGGTCAGTACTGGGACCTGAAAAATACTTCTGGAGTGAAAAAAAATATCGTTAACCGGGGTCCACTGTGTATAATATATATAAAATATATATATATAATATATATATATATAATAATATATATATATATATAATATTTTTTTTTTATTATCACACTGGCCGATTCCCACCAAGGCAGGGGGGCCCGAAAAAGAAAAACTTTCACCCTCATTCACTCCATCACTGTCTTGCCAGAAGGGTGCTTTACACTACAGTTTTTAAACTGCAACATTAACACCCCTCCTTCAGAGTGCAGGCACTGTACTTCCCATCTCCAGGGCTCAAGTCCGGCCTGCCGGTTTCCCTGAAACCCCTTCATAAATGTTACTTTGCTCACACTCCAACAGCACGTCAAGTATTAAAACCATTTGTCTCCATTCACTCCTATCAAACACGCTCATGCATGCCTGCTGGAAGTCCAAGCCCCTCGCACACAAAACCTCCTTTACCCCCTCCCTCCAACCTTTCCTAGGCCGACCCCTACCCCGCCTTCCTTCCACTACAGACTGATACACTCTTGAAGTTATTCTGTTTCGCTCCATTCTCTCCACATGTCCGAACCTCCTCAACAACCCTTCCTCAGCCCTCTGGACAACAGTTTTGGTAATCCTGCACCTCCTCCTAACTTCCAAACTGCGAATTCTCTGCATTATATTCACACCACACATTGCTCTCAGACATGACATCTCCACTGCCTCCAGCCTTCTCCTCGCTGCAACATTCATCACCCATGCTTCACACCCATATAAGAGCGTTTGGTAAAACTATACTCTCATACATTCCCCTCTTTGCCTCCAAGGACAAAGTTCTTTGTCTCCACAGACTCCTAAGTGCACCACTCACCCTTTTCCCCTCATCAATTCTATGATTCACTTCATCTTTCATAGACCCATCCGCTGACACGTCCACTCCCAAATATCTGAATACATTCACCTCCTCCATACTCTCTCCCTCCCTCTCATCACCTAATCTTTTTGTTATCCTCATAACCTTACTCTTTCCTGTATTCACTTTCAATTTTCTTCTTTTGCACACCCTACCAAATTCATCCACCAATCTCTGCAACTTCTCTTCAGAATCTCCCAAGAGCACAGTGTCATCAGCAAAGAGCAACTGTGACAACTCCCACTTTATGTGTGATTCTTTATCTTTTAATTCCACGCCTCTTGCCAAGACCCTCGCATTCACTTCTCTTACAACCCCGTCTATAAATATATTAAAGAACCACGGTGACATCACACATCCTTGTCTAAGGCCTACTTTTACTGGGAAATAATTTCCCTCTTTCCTACATAGTCTAACTTGAGCCTCACTATCCTCGTAAAAACTCTTCACTGCTTTCAGTAACCTACCTCCTACACCATACACCTGCAACATCTGCCACATTGCCCCCCTATCCACCCTGTCATATGCCTTTTCCAAATCCATAAATGCCACAAAGACCTCTTTAGCCTTATCTAAATACTGTTCACTTATATGTTTCACTGTAAACACCTGGTCCACACACCCCTACCTTTCCTAAAGCCTCCTTGTTCATCTGCTATCCTATTCTCCGTCTTACTCTTAATTCTTTCAATAATAACTCTACCATACACTTTGCCAGGTATACTCAACAGAATTATCCCCCTATAATTTTTGCACTCTCTTTTATCCCCTTTGCCTTTATACAAAGGAACTATGCATGCTCTCTGCCAATCCCTAGGTACCTTACATATATATATATATATATATATTATATATATATATATATATATATATATATATATATATATATATATATATATATATATATATGTATATATATATATATAATATATATATATATATATATATATATATTATATATATTATATATATATATATATATATTATGTATATATATATATATATATATATATATTATATATATATATATATATATATATATATATATATTATATATATATATATATATATATATATATATATATATATATATATATATATATGTATATATATATATATATATATATATATATATATATATATATATATATATATATATATATATACATATTATATATATATATATATATACATATATATATATATCTTTCTTTCAACACACCGGCCGTATTCCACTGAGGCGGGGTGGCCCAAAAGGAAAAATAAAAGTTTCTCTTTTCACATTTAGTAACATATACAGTAGAAGGGGTTACTAGCCCCTTGCTCCTGGCATTTTAGTCGCCTCTTACAACACGCATGGCTTACGGAAGAATTCTGTTCCACTTCCCTATGGAGATAAGAGGAAATAAACAAGAACAAGAACTATTAAGAAAATAGAAGAAAACCCTGAGGGGTGTGTATACATATGCTTGTACATGTATGTGTAGTGTGACCTAAGTGTAAGCAGAAGTAGCAAGACATACCTGAAACCTTGCATGTTTATGAGACAGAAAAAACACCAGCAATCCTACCATCATGTAAAACAATTACAGGCTTTCATTTTACATTCACTTGGCAGGATGGTAGTACCTCCCTGGGTGGTTGCTGTCTACCAACCTACTACCTATGGTGTATATATATATATATATAATTTTTTTTTTTTAAACATGTCAGCCATTTCCTACTGAGGCAGGGTGACCCAAAAAGAAAGAGAAACCCAAAATGCTTCCACCATCATTCATACATAATCACTGTCTTTGCAGAGGCACTCAGATACAACAGTTTAGATGTCACTCCAAACAGTCAATATCCCAAGCCCATTCTTTAACCTTTAACGAAGCTGTAGTTCTCTGCCATGAGCTCAGCTCATGGATCTATGTAGTAAGTGTGCACCATATAAAACAAATCCTGCATCACGCAGTGCTTAATGAGAAAAAGCCTGCGACCGTGTTTTTTGGATTAAAGCAGCTAATTTGTGGTGTAGTTTTTGTGTGGTTTTTATGGTTTCTTGGTCTTATTTGATAGTGAAAGATATATTACAGAAATAGAGATGATTTTGATTGGTTTTAGTACTGAAAATAGCTTGAAATTGAGCTCAAAGTAGATGAAATGTTCGATTTTTGCCAATGTTCAAGAGTAAACAGATGATGGCACACAACCAATACATGGCAACTTGGGGGGTCTAATATACATTCATGAATGTGCTGATATTATTTATACAATTATTACAGTATTGCATAACAGTAAATCTTCTATTTTTTGGTGTGAATAAAAATTCTTTATGTGAATAAAAAATAAAAATGGAATTCAAGTGCAACTAATGTGACATTTATTGTGGCAACGTTTCACTCTCCAGGAGCTTTATCAAGCCATTAATGGCTTGATAAAGCTCCTGGAGCTTATGTCACATTAGTTGCACTTGTGTCCTTTTACTTTACATATTGTCGGTAATTCTACCAACTTTATTACAAAATGGAATTCGTTTGTAAAGCCTGGAAACATAACTAATAAACAGAGGAAATATGCCAGTAATGCATAGTGTTTATTCTGGACCATATTTTGAAACTGGAATATTTTGAACTTTGTGTGAAATTGGCCAAATTACCAATTTCTGATCACTATTGGGTAGTTGAAATAGTTAATTGGGTAGTTTCTTGTGCTCAGTTGATAAAATAGAAGTAATATTAGCAAAATAGCTAAGAATTTGATCAACTGGAATAATGTAATTGGCCTAAAATAGGAGTCAAAGTGGGCAAAATCACCTATTCATAAATATTACTGACGCAACAAATTTTGCTATAGTGTAATTTCATCAATTTTCCATCAAATATCGTACTTTTTGTTTTTTTTACCTACAGAAAAAGATTCTCTACCATTTCATAAGAAAAAAAAAATATTTTTTGAAATTCTTGGACCCTGTGGACAAGGTGTAGAACTACGGCTTGGACCATCAAAGGGTTAAAGTGCAGGCATTGTACTTCCCACCTCCAGGACTCAAGTTCGGCTAACTGGTTTCCCTGAATCCCTTCACAAAATATTACCCTGCTCACACTCCAACAGCTCATCAGGTCCCAAAAAACATTTGTCTCCATTCACTCCTATCTAACATGCTCATGCATGCTTGCTGGAAGTCCTAGGCATTCGCCCACAAAACCTTCTTTACTCCCTCCAACCTTTCCTAGGATGACTCCTATTATATATATAAACTGAAATTCATTATTTTGAATGGTATTTGATGATATTTACAGCGTGCATTGTTAAGACAACAAGAGACAAGGAAACGGCTCTTACAACATCAGCAGCAACAGGTGTTAGTGCCGTCCAACACCTCAGATGTGGCTCAACCTCCACCAACCTCATACCAGAACATGGATGACCTCTTTAATAACACCGTTGCGCCAAATGTGAATGTCACTCTCCAGGTAGTCTAACAAGGGCCTCTTTCCCCTTTAATCAACAGCCTTGATTGTAAGGGGAAGTATTTTAAACTGGGATTGTCTTTTATGATTATATTGGCTTTTGGTTGGTAAAACTGGATTGAGGCTTTAGTGGTTATCATTTTTAGATTTAAATGTTAGTAACTGGACAGTATTACTGATGTTATTAAATGAAAGTGTAGAATGCTCTCAAAAGAACCTTGCACTTATAAGTATATTAAAAACTGTGATGTCTCCTCTTATTTATAATTTCAGCGTAATGTTGCCGAGTCTCAGACATCTCCAAATTACAACCTGCTCAATTCGCCACTAGGGGGTGGGGGACAAATTTCTCCTGGCCAGCGTATTCCTCAACCCCCTTTCTCTCCACATGGTCAAACAACTTCTCCCCTTCCAAACCAACAGTACAGCAATAGGTAGAGTCAAAGCTTTTTTTTTTATCACTATATTGGATTTAAGTACTGTTTTTTCAGAAATTAACATAAACAGGTTTATACTTTCAGAAATTATTATAGACAGGTTTGTATTTTCAGAAATTTTTATAGACAGGTTTGTATTTTCAGAAATTATTATAAGTATAAATTTGTAACCAGAAATATATTTGAGTATTCCATGTATTAATTACTTTTCATTTTTAGGATGACAGATTTGTATATTTTCGAGTTGCCATACAAAATTCTAATTTAGTAAAGTAGCCTTTTGATTTAGTGCTCACTTTAATTATGTATCAAGAAATGTAAAATTATTTTATTATTGTATTATTTTAATTCTTTGATCCCTATGAAGAGTTTCCTTCATGAAGGCAGGCCTTGATGTTGCAGATAACCATAATTATTTCACTTTCAAGTGATGGAGACAAAAAAAAAATCCTGAGGCAATTTCTAAAGAAGTTTACATATCAGTTTGGTTAGCACATTATAATCATTCGTCATCGTGGTTGTAGGAGGTATGGTGATACTGACAACATGGACAAGACAAATGTATATGACTATGACAGTTATTAAAGAAAATGTTTCACCACCCAAAGAAGCCACTCTTGGCAAGGCATTTCCTTTAATGTATATCATAAGTGCATGTATGTGTCTTCTTTCCATGGTTATCACTGAGAAGTAAGACTGTTTGGAAAGATTGAAAGTTGCTTCAGAGTATATTCATATGAGAAAATAAAAGGGCAGTAGCAGAAGACAGAAAGACTCAAGTAATGAAAGTGAAGAGCAATTTACCTGTATCAAGGCACAGGCAACTCTCTTGAAGGCTAGTGTGTAGATGTAGTGTTGGTAGGAGACCATTATGTGGTGGTGTATGTTGGTAGCAGACCATTATTGTGGTGGTGTAGTGTTGGTAGCAGACCATTATATGGTGGTGTAGTGTTGGTAGAAAACCATTATGTAGTGGTGTAGTGTTGGTAGTAGACCATTTTGTGGTGGTGTAGTGTTGGTAGCAGACCATTATGTGGTGGTGTAGTGTTGGTAGCAGACCTTTATGTGGTGGTGTAGTGTTGGTAGCAGACCACTATGTGGTGGTGTAGTGTTAGCAGACCATTATGTGGTGGCATAGTGTTGGTAGCAGACCATTATGTGGTGGTGTAGTGTTGTTAGCAAACCATTATGTGGTCTGCTACTAACACAGCTTTGGGTCAGGCTTATCTGGAGTTAAACTCCAGTAGTCACTTTTCAGTCTAGTCCTGCAGTTTGTCCAGATCCGCTTGTAGTCTTTCCTGGTCTTATCTTACCTATATCCTTCTTACTAATTTTGCATCTACAAACTGGTATACCTCTTGGCAGATATGTATGTATGTGTATGTGTGTGTGTGCTCGTGCCTGCGTGTGTGTGCATGTCTGTGCATGCGTGTGTGCCTGTGTATGCGTGCGTGTCTGCATACATGTTTGTGTGTGCCTGCATGTGTGCACGCATCTGTACATGCATGTGTGTGTGCGTGCGCATGCCACCACCAAACATTTCTTTGTATATTCTTATTTGTTGTTTCAGGGGTCAAGCCTTAGCTCTTGGTCCAACCTTTCTGCAAACTGTTAGTGGATTTTCTCTCTCTTGGCTGCATGAGCCCTGTTCTTAAAACTGTATATGGATCCTGCCTCTAGCACTTCATTGTCGAGGTCATTCCACTTCTTGACTTCCCTATGTTTTTAACGTCCAGCTATGCCCTTATGTACTTGATTCCCACCTCTCAAATAGACTCCTCCTGATTACAATGTCAGTTCCTCTCAGTATTTTGCACATTGTAATTGTGCCACCCCTGGTTCTTTTATACTCTTATGTTGCCAAAGTTTGCTCTTTTTACCTCTCATCATGGCTCATGTTATTCAGCTCTTGAGATATGATTGCAAACTTTTTCCAGCTTTTTGACATACTTTATCAGATACAGGTTCCATACAGGTGCTGCATACTCCAAGATTGGTCTAACATATTCTATTGTGACTAACTGCTTGTTGAGGATCCTGAAAGGTAGCCTTAAATTTGCCAGTTTTGCATTTGCTGCAGTGGTTATTCAATTGATGTTTGCCTCAGGGTACTACAGTACCATGGGGTAATTTTTTTTTTTTTATTATCACACTGGCCAATTCCCACCAAGGCAGGGTGGCCCGAAAAAGAAAAACTTTCACCATCATTCACTCCATCACTGTCTTGCCAGAAGGGTGCTTTACACTACAGTTTTTAAACTGCAACATTAACACCCCTCCTTCAGAGTGCAGGCACTGTACTTCCCATCTCTAGGACTCAAGTCTGGCCCTCCGGTTTTCCTGAATCCCTTCATAAATATTACTTTGTTCACACTCCAACAGCACATCAAGTATTAAAAACCATTTGCCTCCATTCACTCCTATCAAATATGCTCATGCATGCTTGCTGGAAGTCCAAGCCCCTTGCACACAAAACCTCCTTTACACCCTCCCTCCAACCTTTCCTAGGCTGACCCCTACCCCGCCTTCCCTCCACTGCAGATTTATACACTCTCAAAGTCATTCTGGTTTGTTCCATTCTCTCTACATATCCAAACCACCTCAACAACCCCTCCTCAGCCCTCTGGATAATAGTTTTGGTAATCTTGCACCTTTTCCTAATTTCCAAACTACGAATTCTCTGCATTATATTCACACCACACTGCCCTCAGACATGACATCTCCACTGTCTCCAGCCTTCTCCTCGCTGCAACATTCATCACCCATGCTTCACACCCATATAGGAGTGTTGGTATAACTATACTCTCATACATTTCCCTCTTTGCTTCTATGGACAAAGTTCTTTGTCTCCACAGACTCCTAAGTGCACCACTCACCCTTTTTCCCTCATTAATTCTATGATTCACTTCATCCTTCATAGACCCATTTTCCTGACAAGTCCACTCCTCAATACCTGAATGTATTCACCTCCTCCATACTCTCTCCCTCCAATCTGATATCCAATCTTTCATCACCTAATCTTTTTGTTATCTTCATCACCTTATTCTTTCCTATATTCACTTTTAATTTTCTTCTACATACCCTACCAAATTCATCTACCAACCTCTGCAATTTCTCTTCAGAATCTCCCAAAAGCACAGTGTCATCAGAAAAGAGCAACTGTGACAACTCCCGCTTTGCGCTTGATTCTCTATCTTTTAACTCCACACCTCTTGCCAAGACCCTCACATTCACTTCTCTTACAACCCCATCTATAAATATATTGAACAGCCAAGGTGACATCACACATCATTGTCTAAGGCCTGCTTTTACTGGGAAATAATCTCCCTCTCTCTTACATACTCAACCCTGAGCCTCACTATCCTCATAAAAACTCTTCACTGCTTTCAGTAGCCTACCACCTATACCATACACCTGCAGCATCTGCCATATTGCCCTCCTATCCACCCTGTCATATGCCTTTTCCAGATCCATAAATGCCACAAAAACCTCTTTAGCCTTATCTAAATACTGTTCACCTATATGTTTCACTGTAAACACTTGGTCTATACACCCCTACCTTTCCTGAAGCCTCCTTGTTCATCTGCTATCCTACTGTCTGTCTTACTCTTAATTCTTTCAATAACAACTCTACCATACACTTTACCAGGTATACTCAACAGACTTATTCCCCTATAATTTTTGCACTCTCTTTTGTCCCCTTTGCCTTTATACAAAGGAACTATGCATGCTCTCTCCCAATCCCTTGGTACTTTACCTTCTTCCATACTTTTATAAATAATAGCACCAACCACTCCAAAACTGTATCCCCACCTGCTTTCAACATTTCTATCTTTATTCCATCAATCCCACCTGCCTTACCCCCTTTCATTCTTCCCACTGCCTCACGAAGTTTCCCCACACCTACGTTACTCAGGAGGAAAAGGCACTCGCAGGACACAAGCCTATGAAAGACAGGCTATCTCTCATGTTTTGTTGTAATGCTAGTGGGGATTGCAAAGTGAAGTCTTAACTCATGTATCACTCTGAAAATCCCAGAGTGTTCAAGAAAAACTGTCTCATTACTCATCAGTACTTTTCAATAAAGGTAAGTGTCATTTTAGTATTTACTTATGTATTTATGCTGCATGTCTCATTGTTTTCTATGCAGGAAAATATATATTTCATGTAAAAAAAATAATTTTTTTTAATGCTTTTGGGTGTTTGGAACGGATTAATTGGATTTCCATTATTTCTCATGGGGAAAATTAATTTGGCTAACAATAAAATCGGTTAAGGACAAGCTCTCTAGAACAGATTAAAATCGTTACCCAAGGGTCCACTGTATATGTTAGTGTAAACATGTTATCTAGTACAGTGGACCCTCGACCAGTGATATTAATCCGTTTCTGAGAGCTCATCGTTAGTCAAAATTATCGTTAGTCGAGTTAATTTTCCCCATAAGAAATAATGGAAATCAAATTAATCTGTTCCTGACACCCCAGAGTATTGAAAAAAATTTTTTTTACCACATGAAATATTAATTTTAATACACACAAACTGAAGACATGTACAATTACACGACACTTACCTTTATTGAAGATCTGGTGATGATTGATGGGATGGGAGGAGGGGAGAGTGTGGATGGTGTTAGTGTTTAGAAGGGGAATCCCCTTCCATTAGAACTTGAGGTGTCAAGTCCTTTTCTGGGGTTACTTCCCTTCTTCTTTTAATGCCACTAGGACCAGCTTGAGAGTCACTGGACCTCTGTCGCACAACATATCTGTTCATAGAGCTCTGTACCTCCCGTTCCTTTACGATTTGTCTAAAATGGGCCACAACATTGTCATTGTAATAGTCTGGTACCAGCACGGCTTGCAATAGCTGTGTTAGGGTGATTTTTCATCCATAAAGGTTTGCAGTTCAACCCACTTTGTACACATTTCCTGAATCTTTGAAGTAGGCACAATGGATTCCACAACTGGCATAGGCATCTCAGGGTAAGCCCTAAACCCTTC